ACCATGCCTCTAACATCTACAAATGTCAAGTTTTGTGCTGGAAAGCCAGAGACAAAAGAAATCCCATTCCCTTCAGCTGAGCGTGGAAGTCACTTCAGGAGAGACAGGAACTGCAAAGGGAACTCCCAGCCCGAGAGAAGGCACTGCATCCCATCATCCCAGCTCCTAAAGGGATTTTTACAAGTGCTTTATCTGGTCTCCTCATGCTGGAACACCTCAAGCAGACAGCAGCTAAATGCCCAACCACAGGGCTGACATACCATTAGAAGTCTGAAATAACGCCAAGAGGATGTGAAGCTGTATTTTATGGGGCGTGTTGTGGAGCAGACCCAGTTAAACACAGGCGCTCGGCTCTGCGGGGAGCAGCCCCACGCAGCCGGAGCTGCTCCCACAGCGGCGAGAGGTGCCCTTGGCCAGAGGACTCCAGTCGGTCGCTGCAGAGCCCTTCCCGGGAGCCAGCACAGCTCCGTGCCTCTGCCTTATCTAAGAGGGAGCAGTCGGATCTCAGGTGCAGCACTGAGTTCTGTTAGCCTCTGGCTCCTGTTTGCTCCAGGCTGGAGAGATTTCCCCAGCCCCAGGACACAGCGCTGCGGTTTGGGGGGTGAGCACACAGAAATTCCCACCCACAGGCCGGGGCGGCTCAGCCCGCTCGCCTGCGGACACCGCGGAGCAGCTGGCAGCACTGGGGAAACTTGGAGGAAAAACAGCACCAGCAGCAGCCCCGCAAGTGCGGCCATCGCTCCAGGGCCGGGAAGGAAGGGCTGTGGCTTTTCTCCTGCCGTGGGTGCCGGTCCCCACCGGCCTCAGCCGTGAGTGGAGCCGGCGCAGCCCGGAGCAGCGGGATCGCCCAGCCCGGCGCAGGGCGAGCAGCCAGACAGATCCTGGCTCCAGGCACCCCGGAGCCGTGCTCAGACAAGGTGTGACTGCGCAAGTGATTCAGCTGAATGGAGCAGGCAGCACGGCACAGGCAGCCTGCAGTGAGCGGGCAGCAGGGAAAGGCTCCTCCGCCCACCGCCGGCTGCCGCGCTCCAAATCCAGACACCAGCTTTAAGGGGGAAACCGGGAATTTCCATGCAAACACTAAAGAATCTGCCAAACACTGAGACAAACGGACAAGGCAGTGAAAGATCGAGGCTGAGATCCTCACCCGGGGCTCCCTACACGTGCAGGGCAGGCAGGGCTCCTGAGCAGCCAGGCTGCTTATCTCAGCCTGATCAGTGAAACAGAGACCTTGGGGAGTGTTTCCAGCTCCCCAACAGGCAACATTTCATCCCTATCCCAAATTCAAAAATCCCAAAAAAAGTTCAAAACAACCCTCTCTCTTCCAAACAAAAAAACACTGAGGTGTTCTGCACTGAAAGAATCAAATGGGTACTTGGATTTTCCCAAACTTTTCCTTATCTCCCTCAGATGATTTAACTAAAATCCAGAGGTGATCCTGTTCCCAGCAGCATTCTCCCTGCAGAGTCCACCCTCCAGGTCTAGGCACGGCCTGAATGTCTTGGTGCAAGCAACTCCTCCACAGGCCTCTGCCTGCCAGAGCATGGAAAGGGGCTTCTCAAGGAATTTCCAGTCACATTCCTGACTAACCACAGCCTAGGTCTGGAAAACAGCCTTGGCTCACTCTGCCTTAGCACAACCATGGCAGAGCGGGATGTGGTTCACTCTTCTGCTACGGACAGGATCCACAGGGAGCCAGAGCAATTAAACCTCAAATCAGTGTTTCTGGTGCAGCAATAAGCGTTTCTGGAGCAGCAACACTTATTAGTTCTTCCTGTGAGGCAGGAAGGCTCAGCCCCATTTTTCAGATGGAAAAAACCCCAAACATCAAACCAAGAGTGGTGTCACTTGGTACCTCAGAATTCAGACTGAGCCAGGGATAATTTGGGCAGGGAACTAGGGAGAGACATGCTGGGCTAGGGAATGTGGAAACAAGTTCCCTGGCTTAGGAACGATGCTGAGAAGGACAGCATCTCGGCCGAGGGCTTTTTGAACTGCAGGAATAGCTAGGGCTTAGCCAGCGAGCAGGTCCTTCCACTCATTCTTCTTGCCTTTGCAACCTTTTGTATTATCTGACCCTGTTCCAGCCCTTCTGCTGCCCCGGAACACAAACATGCCCATGGAGACCGAGGAAGGGAAGTTTTCCAGTTGTTTAGCTGATCCAAGTTCATCCTCTAGCCAGCCAAACGGGGTGTCCTGCCCCCTCGACAGCATCAGCCCAGACAAACATAAACTTTTCCCTTTTTGCTCGATTTTTTTGATTTTAGAATTAGTCTAAGGCTACCCCACTCCACAGCCCAGCTCCCAGGGAGAGCTGAGGGGAGAGGGCAGATCCCTCTTTTTCATCAGGATCAAAGGTTTTGGCTGAAGGTCTTTAGGCTGCCGAAGTGATGTAAAGGGTGGTCGGATCCTTCCCAAATACCAGCATGGCTCCAGCTGCAGTGCAGCCTGGGGCTGGGGGCCGGTCAGACTGGCAGGACCCCCAAGCTCACTCCTTATTAATCCTCCAGCTGGGGTCAGCTCCCTGGTGGGGCTGATGTGGGGGCTGCACGTCCCCCTGCGGGCAGAGACACAGGCCGTGCCCCAGGGCTGCAGCAGCAGCACCCTTGCACTCCGGCTGTCCTGGAGCCAGGAACACTCGGGACAAGGGACTGCCAAGTCGCAGACAGAAGGTGACCCACGGGGAAGCAGGGCTCCAGCAGGGGCCATTCCCCTCAAAACCTCCAGGGTCAGTCTGCTGAGGGTGAGGAAGCAGATGTGGACAGGGAGAGCCACACTCCGCCAGGCTGCGCCGTGCCAGGCTGCCCTCCCTCTCCCGAAGGCCCCGGGCACACGGGCCCATCCCCATCCCCACGCCACCCCCCGCGGGGTCCCCGGGGAACTCACTCGAAGGCGAAGAAGAGGGCGCAGGTGCCGAGGATGAGGAAGAGTGTCAGGTAGAAGATGCCCTTCTGCCGGGCCATCATGATACGGCCGTCGCAGCAGAAGGTGTTCCTGCCCGGCAGCTTCTCCCATTTCCGAACCACCTTCTTCCTCGCCACCATCACCGACATGGCGGGGCCGTCACTGGGGCGGCAGCGGCCGCCGCACGTTCGGGCGCTGCTGCTGCTGCTCCGCCGCCCGCGCGCCCAGCATCATCGGGGCCCCGCGGGGCCGAGCTGGGCTGGGCTGGGCCGGCGGCTGCGGGAGAGGGAACGGGGAGAGCGCTCGGTCAGCACCAGGGCGGCGGCGGCACCGGCACGGGGGGCGGCGGCCGCCGTCGCCATGGAAACCCCGCGCCCGGGAGGGGCGTTGCCGCGGGAATCCACCAGGGAGGGGGCGCGGGGCGCGGGGCGCGGCCAGGAATACCCTCGGCTGGGCGGCTCCGCACCGGGAGGGGACGCGGCAGAGCCGGGCCGCACAGGGCAGGGCAGCCCCGGCTCTGCGGGCGTGCCGGGAGCCGACGGGGAGAGAGCAGAAGGGAAGGGTTAGAGAGGAGACGGGAGAGGACGGGAAGGGAGGGAAGGGAAGGGGACGGGCCCCGCGCCACCGCTCACCCGGTGCCGGTGCCGCTCGGGCCGCGCCGGTCGCTCCCACCGCGCCGGGAGAGGCCGCCACGCCCCGCGCCCGAACGGGGCGGGGCCGCCGCGGCCATTGGTCCCGCCGCGCCCTCCGCCCCGCCCCGCCGCTTTACGCCTTCCCATTGGGTTCGTGCACTGTCAGTCCGTGACAGCTCCTCCCACCGCGCCGCTTCACGCCACTCCATTGGTCACCAGTGCTGTCACTTCGCGGCGACTCCTCCCTCCCCGCTGTTTCTCGCCGGCCCGTTGGCAGTGCGCGCTGTCACTCCGCGGGGTTGGCCCCGCCCGAGTGCGGACAAGGGAGGGCGGGGCGAGGGCGGGGCCGGGGGCGCTCTGGGTGGGCCCTGCCCCGCCCCCCGGCGGCTCCCGCCAGACCTCCCGGTGCAGGCCCCGGCGGGGCGCGACCTGCGCCGCCCCTCGTTCCTCTTTTTCGTTTTCTCTCACCGGATGCCCACAAGGACCGGGCTTCCGAACCCCAGCGCCGCGGGGAGCGCACGGGATGCTCCCGCCGTCGGTTCCCCGCCCCTCTCCTCCCACCCCATCCGCACATTTCGCACAGTTTTCACACGGTTTTGCACCCCCAGACCGTGGGTTCGGAGAGCCCACCTGCATCCCATCGCCGGCATCCTGCCACCGGGATGCCATCGATCCCTGGAGTCCCGCCTCGGGGCTCCTGGCATTCCAGCCCCGCAGCCCTCCCTGGAATCCCACACACAGCGCTCCCGCTGGCACGTGGCTGCCAGCAAAGGCAGGGCCCGGAGCGTCAAACCCGGGGGGAAAATACACAACTTTTCCCGCGGTTGTTGCTATGGAGACAGGAGCAGCCGGGGAACAGCTCGATGTCCCTCTCCTCCTGCCCCGAGCCCCCTGTGCGCCCAGCTCGGGACGGAAGAGAGGAAGACGAGGAGGAGGAGGAGGAGGATGCTGCGGGCGCAGTGACACACACTGACACCGCTTCGTGGCTGAGAACTCCGTGTATTTGCTCCAACGATCCTTTGGACCCCATCAACCCAAAAATGCTCCCAGGATCGGGGTCCGGCCGGGCGGGAGGAACCGTAGGTGCGGCAGCTCCGTCCCCGAGCCCACGGCACTGGCGCGTCCCGGGGGGAAACAGCGAATTCTGCAGTCCCTGCGGCCGGGGGCACCGACGAGGGTCACGGACGGACCGAAAACCCTCTGAGGTGCTCTGGCCCGCGGTGGCACCGCCGGCTCCCACTGCCTGGCGAACGGGGGGCGTCCCGGGAGGCGTCCCCGCGGCTGCCGTCCGAGGCCGGGACGGCGCTCTCCGTGCCCCGGTCCCTCCCGGGCCCCCCTCGGTCCCCTCCGCTTCTCCCACCCCGCCCGCCGGACTGCTGCCATGGCAACCGGGACGTCATGAGGGCGCGCTTTGCGGCAGGGCGCGAGGGCTCGGCGCGACACTCGCTGGCGCTTTGCGGCAGTACCGGCGTGCGGAGCCATGGCGGAGGAGGACCCGGCAGCGGCGGCGGCAGGGAGCGGCAGCGAGAGCGAGGAGGGGGTGAGCGGGGCCGGAAGGAGTGCGACGGGCTCTCCGAGCGGCCTCCACCGCTATTTGCGGGGCTCCGGGCGCTCTCCTGGTCGGGATGGGCGCAGCGGAGGGCGGCGTGGCCTGGCCGGGAGTGTGGGGTGGAGGATGTCGGGCCCGGGACCCGGCCGGGCGGTGCCGTGGGGGCACCGGGGAGCACGTGGCAGCGGCCGCGCTCTGCCCGGTTGGGTCTGTGACCACGTGTGCCGTGTGGCAGGAGGATGGCGAGCGGCGGCACCGGCAGCTCCTGGAGGCCATCAGCGCCTTGTCCGGACGGAAGCGGTGAGTGGGGTACGGGCGTGCCGCGTTTAGGCCCGGGGGCTCCTGCAGCAGCCGCGTGGCGAGAGGCTGCACAGGAAGGGGGGCAGGGGAGACGGTTCTCGGCCCCTGCCCTCGGCACCGGCCCCAAATTCTCCAGAGCACCCGGGGGATACGAGGAACCTTTGGGGTTGTTTTCTGTCTCTCTCTGGCAGGCGGAAGCTGGCGGAGCGCTCGGAGGCGAGCGGGCAGGTGTCTGAGTTCAATGTCACCTGCAAAGGTGAGGCAGGGAGCTGGGCAGGGCTCGGGGATCTGGGATGGCGCTGCCCACCGAGAGCCACTGTGAGGGCTGGGACAGCTCCCTCACCTGGCAGTGACACACCTCTGCGTAGGTGCTGGGGAAAAGCTGGTTCTGTCGGAGCTGCTGCAGCCCATTCATCCCAAATCCACGCTGGGCAGTGTGAGGAAGGAGCTGGCCAGAGTGAAGCGGAAGGCGGCGGTGGAGCTGCCACTGAGCAAAGAAGAGGCCAAGAGGGTGAGTGCAGGGAGCCAAGAGGGTCTGAGCTGAGCCCCCAGCACCCCCATGCTCCTCCCTGATACCGGCATCACCTTTCTCTGCCTGTCCTGTTCCCCTCCAGGTGGTGAGGGAGGCTGCCTACGTGACCACCTCGAAGGATGTGGGGAAGTGGCAGCAGGTGGTGCTGCAGAACCGGCGCGCGGAGCAGCTGGTGTTCCCCCTGCGGCAGGACATCGCCACCGTGACCCCTCTGGAGAGAGTCACCTCGGCGTGGAAGGTGGCCACTGGGGCTCACACGGCCGGGGTGGCTCTGGGGTGCGGCCAGGGTGGCTCCAGGATCAGCTGGGGCAGGTCGATGTCTCCTGGCTGTGCTGGGGCAGTGATGGCAGGCTCAGCCTGGCAGTGACGCTGGGCAGGTGCCCGCTGAGCTTGGGAAGGTTAGAAGGGCAGTCTGTGTTCGTCTCACAGAGCAGGTGTGTAAATTCCATCTGGGACAAGCCAGGTAAGCTGTGAGCAGAGGGTTTGGAGCCTGTCCCCTCTCCTCCTTGTAGCCTCTCAGGGCCAGGCACATGGGACTGTCCCTTGGCCACAAGTGCTGAGGCAGAGGTGATTGGTTTGCTGAATCCTGCATGTCTGGAAACGCTCCTTACAAAAGAGGGATGTGTTTGGTTGTGAATGCAAGTTCCTGTGGGGTTGTGCTGCTGGCAGGAATCCACTGCTATCCCTGGGAGTTGTCAGATGCCCAGGTGAGGGAGGGGCAGCCCCTGCTGAACTCCCAACAAACCTGTCACTCACACTGATCTGCCCAAAAGTCCCTTTCTGTTTTGGAGGGACATGGCATTGTGTGGCCTGGAACTCCTGCTCCATGCTTTTTGTGTGGTGCCCCCCGGTCAGAGCTGCCTGGCAGCTGGGGGGCCATTTTTTTAATGTGGGAGGAATTCTACCTGCCCTCACCTGGCCATGTGGCTGGGAGAGTGCCCAAGGGCTGTGGTGTGGGACCCATGAGTGGGGCTATGACCACCCAGTCCCCCAAGGCGGGGATGCTTCTCTGTGCCTTCCACAGACCAATGTGGGGGCACTGAGAATGGATGGGGACATCCATGGGAGCACTGGCCCTTGCACTTCTCCTCATCCTCTTGCCATATCTACTGTCCCAACAGGCCCGAACTCCACTGGAGCAGGAGATCTTTGGATTGCTCCACAAGACACAGCAGCCTGTCACAGACCCGCTGCTGACACCAGAGGAGATGGCCTCAGTGCAGGCCATGAGCTTGGAGGAGGTGAGGCTTCTCTCCGCTGGGCCCTGGCTCTGGGGGCCTCTTCCTTGGCCCCATCCCTCACCCTGTGCTCCCCATCCCTCACCCCGTGCTCCCCATCCCTCACCCCTGCTCCCCATCCCTCACCCCTGCTCCCCATCCCTCACCCCTGCTCCCCATCCCTCACCCCTGCTCCCCATCCCTCACCCCTGCTCCCCATCCCTCACCCCCTGCTCCCCATCCCTCACCCCCTGCTCCCCATCCCTCACCCCGTGCTCCCTGGCAGGCCCGGCGCCGGCGGGCAGAGCTGCAGAAGGCCCGGGCAGTGCAGTCCTACTATGAGGCCAAGGCTCGGCGAGCAAAGCGGATCAAGAGCAAGAAGTGAGGCTGTGCCTGTGCTGGGCTGGGCACGCTGGGGGGCTGGGCAGCCCTGCCCAGCCCCTGAGCCGCCCCTGTGCCGCAGGTACCACCGCGTGCTCAAGAAGAGCCGGAGGCGCCAGGCCCTGAAGGAGTTCGAGCAGCTGCACAAATCCGACCCTGTGGCCGCCTTGGCACGGCTGGAGGAGCTGGAGCAGCTCAGGATGCAGGTGCTGCCTTGGCACCTCTGCCTCACCCCTTTGGAGGGCCCTGCTCCTTGGGGAGCTCTATGTGATGCTTCTCTTCCCCCAGGAGCGGATGAGCCTTAAGCACCAGAACAAGGGAAAATGGGCCCGATCCAGGGCCATTATGGCTAAGTATGACCTCGAGGTGAGATGGAGCCACAGAAGGGTTTGGTGAGAAGGGACCTTAAAGTTCATCGAGTTCCACCCCTCTGCCATGGGCAGGGACACTTTCCATTAGATCACATTGCTCAAGCCCTGGCCCACCTGGCCTTGAACATTTCTGGGGATGGGGCAGCTGCAGCTTCTCTGGGCAATCTCTGCATGGGCTTCCCCACCCTCACAGGAAAGAATTTATTCCCAATATCATAGCTATCCCTGTCTTCTGTCAGTGTGCAGCCATTCCCCCTTGTCCTGTCCCTCCAAGCCACGTTATAAAGTCTCTCTATCACTTATTCTTATAATCCCATATTGGAATGCCATGACAGGGTCTTCAGCGTTGCTTGGGGAAGGGGGGTAGGCTGGGGTGGGCAGGGAAGGTTGGGAATGTTGTCTCTGCCCTGTGTTAGAGCCTCTCGGTGCCTCCCAGGCCCGCAAGGCCATGCAGGAGCAGCTGGCCAGGAACAAGGAGCTGATGCAGAAGGTGCGGGTGGAGCCGCCCGAGGAGGAGCTGTGTGAGGTGCCCGAGGAGGACACCACAGCCTTGCCCACGCCCAGCGGGGCTAATCCCTGGATGCTGGGCAAGCCCAGTGGCCTGGCCCCGGAGCCTGAGGCACAGGAGTGTCCAAGAAATGACACAGTGCCTGGTGCTGTGGAGAACAAGGACGAGATGGAGGAGGAGGAAGAGGAGCTGTCAGAGGAAGAAGCTCTGCTGCAAGACTTCGAGCAGAAGCGACGGGAGCGGACAGGGAGCCCTGAGGGGCACGGCAAAGACCATGGTGAGGAGCTTGAGGCCCAGGGCTGGCTGGGCTGGGAGTGCTCGGGGCTGGACAAAGGAGGGGGGATCTGGGGACAGCTTTTGGGTGATTTCACGCGGCTGTCCTTTCTCTCTGCCCTGTGGAGTGACCATTTCTACCCTCATCATGTAGGTGCTGATGAGACTGACACTGGTGCTGAGCAGCCCAGGGACAGCCCAGTCCCCCCAGGCTGTGCTGAGGAGCTGGGGGACAGCCCAGTCCCCCCAGGCTGTGCTGAGGAGCTGGTGAGTGCAGGGCTGGAGCCTCCCCCTCAGGCCCAGGAACAGCTCCTGCTCTCGGAGCAGCTGCGCCATGTGCAGACCATGGAGGATATGGAGAGTCTGGCCAAGGAGGAGCTTGTGGAAGAGCAGGAGAAGCTGGTAGCCCTGAGTGCTGGGAAGCGAGCACAGCAGCAGGAGGAAGGCAGAGCTGGGGACAGACATACCAAGAAAGCACCAGCCAAGAGGAAGATAATCAACTTGGAGGCTGTGCTGGATGGGAAGCCCCAGGAGATGGTCTGCCCCAGCCTGCCTGTGGTCCTGGAGGAGGAGGTAAGCAGGACGTGGCTCTCCCATGCTCCCCAGTACCAAAACACCCAACCAGTAATGCCCAAACCTTGAAGTCCCAGTAATCCCAAATCCTCTCGTGGTAACCCTAAACTCCCTTCCAGTAACCCCAAACCTCCTCTTAATAACTCCTAGTAACCCCAAACTAGTAACTCTAAACCTCCTCCCAGTAATTAGAAGCCCCAAGCTAGTAACTCCCAGTACTCCCAAACCCCCTTACAGTAACCCCAAACCCCTTCCAGTAATGCCCAGTAACTTTTACCCTCTTGCCACTCTCCCCAGTACCCACAAACCCTCTCCCAGTGCCTCCCAATTTGTCCCATCTCTCCCAATTCCCCCAGTAAGCGTTAAACCCAGTGTCTTGTCCTCGTGCAGGAGGGTGGCATCGAGCAGCGTGGGATGATCACGGAGGCCTTTGCTGGGGATGATGTGGTTGCTGACTTCCGCCGGGAGAAGCGCAAGGCAGAGGAGGCGGTGAAGCCGCAGCTGGTGAACCTGGTGCTGCCAGGCTGGGGCGAGTGGGGCGGCACAGGCCTGAAACCCAGCGCCAGGAAGGTCAAGAGGTGAGTGGGGGAGAGCTCAGGGTTGTGCCCAGCCCCATGCCAGCCCTGACCCCTCACTTGCCCACAGGTTCCTGATCAAGCCGCCACCGGCGCCTCCACGGAAGGACCAGCACCTGCCCCATGTCATCATGAGCGAGAAGCGCAACATCCACGCAGCAGCACATCAGGTGGGGCACACCTGGTCTCCATGGGAGCTCCATGAGAGCACCTGGGCAAGCCTGGGGCGTTCCTGTGATCCGTTCCCAAAACGTCCGCAATCCCTGCCTGTCATCCCTGCCCAATGCTTAGCTCAGGAGGAGGGATGTACAGGGCTGCTCCCTTGGTGGTGATGGTTGTTCCAGCCCTCTTGGGCTCTGCTGGCAGCGGAAAGGGAAGCAGAGTGTGAGTGGGTCCTGGACAAGTGAGAAGCAGTGAGCATTGGGAGCAGCATGGGCTGGAAAAGCTGGGCTGGATGGCTGGGGCCATTACCCCTGTGGTGTCCCCACAGGTCAGCGAGCTGCCCTTCCCCTTTGAGCGGCACCAGCAGTTCGAGCAGAGCATGCGGACGCCCGTGGGCCCCACGTGGAACACTCAGCGTGCCTTCCAGAAGCTGACAGCCCCCCGAGTCATCACCCGCCCCGGCCACATCATCCAGCCCATCTCGGCCGAGGACGTCCCCGACACGGCCCCCGGCAGCGGGGCCAGGCTTGGGGGGGAGGCCATGCCCCGGAGGAATGCTGTGTCCAGGGGGAAGGCTGTGTCCAGGGGGAAGGCTGTGCCCGGGAAGAAGGCTGTGTCCAGGGAGAAGGCTGTGCCTGGGAAGAAGGCTGTGTCCAGGGGAAAGGCTGTGTCCAGGGGAAAGGCTGTGCCCGGGAAGAAGGTGCAGCCCTGACACTGCAGAGCATGGTAGCTCTGTGTCTGCAGCCTGGGGGCTCACACTGGAGTGAGCGGAGGAGCAGCAGCTCCTGGTTCTGTCCAGTTCCTTCTACCTCTTTCTCTGCAATAAAACCCAGGGCTGCCCTTCCTGTGCTGGCTGCATGGCTGCCTTGGCAGTGTCCAGGGCTAGGCTGGGCCCTCCATCCTGTCCCTGGGGTCCATGCAGGGTCGGGTGCTTTGGCTGAGTTGAAAATGAGCTTGGTCAGGATCTCATAGTGGAGCACGTCTAGGAGCATGGTGAGAGACTGGAATAGCTGCGAACATCCTGTCCTTTTGTCTTTTACATCCACATTTTTGTACCTATATAGATCTTTAAATGTTGGCCAAAGGGGCTTTCTCCCCACCTTGTCATGCTGAGCCTGGCCTCGGGGGTGTTTCTCAGATCCACCTGCACTCCCAAAGTACCTACTCTAATAGCCCTAATAAACCTGATCACCTGGAAATGGCTGTCAGGTGCTTCTGCTGCTCTGCACGTGCTGGGAGCTGGCTCTGTCCACAGGCAGCCCCCACTCCTGCTGCCCACCTCCAGGCCCATGCTCTGTGCCCAGCCAGCCCTTGGAGTGTGACAGTGAGGTGCCTCTCAGGGCATTCAGTATAGGTGGAGGGATGTGCCAGAGCCTTACAGACTGGGCACAGATCCCTGGGAGGGCAGGGATCCCTCCAGGCCTCTCCCCTCACTTACAACGTGGCCTATGCTCAGCGCTAGTTGGAGAAACACTTCCCGGCCCCAGCGCAGGAGCCGGAGCTGCTGCTGATCCCAGGAAACATGTCCCTCGTGTCAAGGACGCCTCCTCCCACCTTGGCACTGCAGCCCGCCCCGGGCACGGCCTGTCCCCAGGGTCACCCTTTTCCTTTGCAGCTCGGTCAGACCAGGAAACGGGGGTCGTTCCGTGGGGTCGGGGCGCAGGCACCCTCCGTGCAGACTGCGGGTATCCCTGGCTGCCGCAGGCTCCTTCCTAGGCTGGGACGGGACTGGGAGCTGACGTGGGGCAGGTGCGGCAGCTTTGCCGGGGACCCATCCCGAGTGCCTCTGGCCCCTGCAGCACCCGGGGCCGGGCAGTCAGAGGGCGCTGGCCCGTGATGGGGCCACGGTTGTGTTGCTTGGGGAAAAGAAAAAAAAAAAAGGAAAGGAAGCGGAGAGCAGTTCCGTGCCGTGACGCCGAGAGCCCCTCGCGAGGCTGGTGGCCCCAGCAGAGCCTGCATCCCTTTGCCATGGGAAACCTTCACCCCGGAGATGTCGTGAAGGGCAAGGGGGGTCGTGTTTGTTTTTGTAAAAGGTGAAGCGCCCTGAAGAGGGGGAGGCAGCATCCCCTGCCAGCCCCTCCACCTGCCGGCAGTCCCCCAGAGCCGCCCCCAGCCCCCGGCGACTGAGGCCAGGAGATCTCTGCGGCACCGCTGTCCCCGTCCCTCTTGCAGGGAGCCTCCCTCGCCTGCCCTGGCCAATGGCTCTGCCTTCCTCCTCCCCAGCCTGGACAGTGTTTGGCTGGACACGATGGGCTGTCCCAGCACCCAGCCCACCTCCTCAGCTCCAGACCCGGGATGCTGAGGGTAGCCGGGCTGGGAACGGTCCGGGGGACCTGTTACAGCAGAGCTGGTTCGGGCTCAGCAGGACCTGCGGGGTGCTGTCCTGCTGTTTGCCTCTCTGCAGGGAGGGGGAACCCCCCCACGTGCTTTCAGCCCCCGAATTTGGCCCACCCCACAGCAAAGGATGCTGCTGCCGCGCGTGGTGTCACCTGTGTCCCTGAAGAGGGGAGCACTGCCCCGCGAAGTCTGGCCCTGCCCCAGCCTGAACTGGGACCTCCCCAGTTCCGATGCGATGCTCCCTCCAGGGCCGGGAAGATGGTGGGCAGCGCTCAGGTGCAGATCCTGCAGAGGACCGAGGCCGGCAGGTGTAACACCAGCTCAGACCTGGAGCAAGCAGGTCTGCAGCTGTCACAAGCTGGATCACCTGGAGCAGCGACAAGACCTGCCGAGGTGCAGATCCCTGTATGGATCCCTGCCTCACACAGAGCTGGTGGGTCTGGCAGCCTGAGTGGGGGTGATGCTCAGCCTGAGAGGGAACAGCTGTTGCCACACATCTGGATCTGCCTCTTCCTGTGAGGAACGGCAGCACTGGACTGGACTGGACTGGCTTGAACTGAGGCTTCCAGTACCCAGAGATGCTTCAAATATAAACAGGGACAACATTAGCATGAGCTGCTGGGTTGTGCAGGAGGGAGCCTGGTGTGGGGTGACCACTGGTACTGACATCCCCGCCCCTCCAGGCTCCTGCTACAGCACAGGCTCCTCTGGAGCCCCCACATCGAGGCAACACTTGGCCCTCTGACTTCTCTGCAGAAATGGATTTACTGGGCATAGGAGCTTGGGGTTTTTCAATAAATAAGCCGTTCCAGGTCTGCCGCAGGAAAGGGGTACGCCAGGGATGCCCACTTGCAGCCTCCCAGGTCAGCGGGGAAGGGGGTGAGAGCCCTTTCCAACGGGCCGGGGAACCTGGCACGGCTGCGGGCTGGGGTGGCTCCTCGCGGGGACTTCCCCAGCCTGATCGTCGTTCTCCCCGTGACAGCAGGGCCGGCCGCAGGCTGCCACACAGGGTGCGAGTCGAGGAGAACCCGGACAAAGCCCTGTTGTCTCCGGCCACCGCGTGGGCCACGGGAGCCAAGGTGCCGCGGTGCGAACACGCAGCCCTCCCTCGGCAGCCTGAGCGCCGCGTCCCCCGAGAGCCGCGAGCGGCTGCGGTTGCTCTTACTGGCCTACTTTCCGGGCTACGTCAAAGCCGGGCTTACGGAGCCGGGAGCCGCGGCAAGGGCGGCCGAGCTGCTCCCGGTGCCAGCGGGGAGCGGGGGCTAATCCGGGCCCGGGGCCGCCCGGCCTGGCTGGCACACGGGCGGCGGGGCAGGGCCGAGCACGGCCACCGCGAGGTGCCCCGGGACAGGGACCTGCCCCGAGCAAGGGCCGCTCCAGCGCCGGGGCGCTGCCGGCGCAGCCGGGCTCCTGCACCCGGCGTCCCGGGAGGCCAGTGGGAGCGGGATGGAGTAAAAGGCAGATTTAAAATCAACAAACAAAAGGCTTTTGGTCGCTGTTTTTTGGGGACGTTGGGGTTTGGGTTTTGGTTTTTTTTTTGGTTTTTTTTTTTTTTTGTTGGGTTTTTTTGTTTTTGTTTGTTTGTTTGTTTTTTTAGGGGGGGGTAGTTTGTTTTTGGTTTTGTTTTTTGGTGGGTTTTTGTTTGTTTGTTTGTTTCTTTTTTGTTATCTTTTTTAAAATGCAGGCTATAAATAACCTGTAAAATATTTCGTCTGGGCTGTTTCTGCAGCTGAAATCTTGTCCCTCTAGCTTCCCAGGCTCAGGATGTGAATGCGAGCACTGGGGCCGTCATGGAGCACCCCTGGATCCCTGGGGTGGATCCCTGCGGTCCTGTACCTTTGCCCACTGGGATCCGGGAATTTCCGTGTCCCTGAACACCTCCAGCCCCCATGGGCTGGAAACGGTCCTCCCCAGAATGGGCCCGAGCTCCACTCCCCGGGGTGCGAGAAGGGCTGAGCACCGCCCCCCGAGCGCACGGAGACGAGAGGCTCAGCCTGGCACACTGCGGGACAAACAGGACAGGGGAGGCGAGTCTGGGATTGGAACGTTAGGCTCAGAAATGCTCTCCCCAACATGTCCCGTGCCGGGGACAGGGGCGGTCCTGCTCCCCGAGTCTCTCAGCCTCCATCGCCCCGCACCCGGAGCGCGCTAACACTCCGTTCCTCCCGCCGCGGTACCCGGTGCCCGGCGCATCCCGGCCGCATCCGGGCGCCGCAGCGGTTTCCGTGGAGATGGCATCTCCCAAGCCCGCACCGCCCGAGCCGAGGGTTTCCATGGAGATGCCGTATCCAACACGGCACAACCTGAGCCGGAGATTCTGCCGAGATGCTGTAGTCGGGACCCTCACACCTCAGGGGGTCATTCCTGGGGACGTGGGTGGCTGGGGCCCTCTGTGGCTCGGGGGTGCCTGTGGTGTTACCCACTGCTCCTCACACCAGTTCGGTGACAGCGCTGGGACACCAATACCTGCGGCTGTGAACATCCTGGGGGAGCTGTCGCCAGCCTTGTCACCCTCCAGAGTGGGAACCCACTCACTCGGGCTGTGTTGTCACATTCTGTCAGGGTCTCCAGGAGATGGTGGGTCCCTGCCTGTACCCAGCTGCCTGGAGAGGAAAGGGGGAAATCCTCGTGTCCCCTGATGACTTTGTCCCAGCTGCCACCCTGCAGCTCCCACAGTGACACATCAGGGTGGGATGTCAGTGGCACCAGGTGGGAAGCAAGCACCGGGCTGCACTCCTGCACAGGGGATGAGGTACCCAGACCCAAACCAGCAGCATCCCAGAGCTGGGGGACACCTGGTTGAGTTCCAGCACAGTCAGTGAACCAAAAACTTCCTGGGGGGAATGTGAAGGGCCTCAAAGGGCAGGACTGAGGCCAAGCTGAAGGGTGAGCAGAGGCAGATGTCCTCCTGGCAGGCAGCTGTGTGTACGTGTGCCCTGGCCAGCTTCATTTGAGCACAGCTGCCGCAGAGGTGGCACCTTCCGTTCTGCACACGGCAGAGCTCTGGCAAGCCCCAAGCTCCCATGGCAGAGATGGGGGGAGAAGCACAGGAATGCCCCTGGGGCACACACTGGGACACGCTGGGACGCACTCCTGCCCACTCGGCGCCTGTGGGAGATGTGGGTCTGGTTCAGCCCCCATGTCCCTCCTTGCCTCAGCCCACTCCATGCTCCTGCTCCACCTCTGCTCCCAACTGGACCTTCCTTGGCCACCCTTGTCCTGCCCAAGCCAAGGCCATCTGGAGCCTCCATGGGGGCTTCTCAGCTGGCAGAGCAGCAGCAGCCAGGAGCCTGGGAATGATGCCTGAGGCCAGGCATTGCTAGCCATTCCAGCCTCCAACTCCTGGGGGGCCTCAATCCCCCACACAGCCTGGCCACTGCCATGACTGCCAGCAGCACTTCCAGCATCCCCAAGCACAGGCTGTCAGATGCAGCACTGCAATCAGAGCCCAGCTCTTTGTCTGCTGTTATAATTAGGAGCAGCCCCCCCCCCCAGAGGCCTGACCTGGGAAGATCAGGGCTGGGGGACAGACACTAAAGGAGCTGGAATTTGGAATGGCAGCCTGGGAGCAGGGGCAGGCCCTGTTCTGCCCACAGCCAGCTACTCTCCAGAGCCTCATGCTGCATTGAAAAGGGCTGGAGTGGAGCCAGAGCTCTGTGCAGTCACCCCTCTCACCCCTGCTAGCCCTGCAAGGCTCCTCACCTGATTTCTGAGCTCCCCTGGCACCCCAACCTCTGCTCACCCACTGTATTCTCCTCCCCTCCATCACTTTGCCCTTGCCCTGACTGCCAGCTATTCTCTTGGCTCCCAGGCAGAACATGGTTCCTCCCTGCTTTGTCCTGGCGATCCCACATTCTCACCCGTCAGCGGTGCTCTCCCAGCCCAGGGCTTCTCCTGGGATGTGGAGGAGGAGGAGGAGGGCAGCAGAGACAGTATGTGCCTGCTGACTCCTGTCTGTGCTGCTCACCACGGGCAATGCACACTTCTCCAGCCAGCACGGAGGCCTGGAGTGGATAAGGAGGAAGAGGCCAATCCCAAACTCCCTTGGATGGTCCAAGAGGAAGCCACCCAAAATCTCAATCCATGAAATTCACTTCCCGAGGCAGGAGCAGCCTTGTTTTGGCCCCAGCAGCTGGGTTCAAAATGTCAGCCTCTGAGCTCATAACAGATCCAGTTTCTCACGCAGGAGGTGGGACTCTGTCCCGTGTCCCTCTTGAGCGCCGTGTCCCCTGGGGAGCACGGGGAAGAGGGGCTGCACAGCAGGACAGCAGGCAGCAGCCTGGCCTGTCATGTGCCCCACAGCACTTGCGGCCTCCCTGCCCACCATTCCCTGTCCCCGACTGCCAGCAGGGAGGACAAGGCAGCCACTCTGACACTGTCACCTTCTATCTGCACTGCCACCCATGCTACCAGTGTTTGTTGTCGGAGTGGGACAGCCCATGGAATGTGGGAGGACAAGGGCTACAGGTAGAGGTGACACCTCTCCACAATGTCACTGCACCAGCCAAACCCAGGTGAGCTCTGCCCACCTCAGAAGGAGCAGCATGGAGGTTCCTTCTTCAGAAAAGTGCCAAGAAACTCAGTGAGAAATCTCCAGACCCCACAGAAATGGACACACTGTTCCTCCCAATGGGACACCCATCCCCTGGCTCTGCAGTCACAGCCCCACCTTCCCAGCGGAAGCTGAGGTGTCCAGGGCTGGTTCTGCCCTGGACATGGAGGTGACATGGAGCACATGGGGCATCACCTCATCCCTCTTCTTCTGGTGCCAGGAACTACAAGCCACCTTTGCTGCCACCAGCTGCCACCACCCTGCCAGAGGAGAAGGCTCCATGATCCCAACTCATTCAGAGACGCCTGCCAGCCTGGCTGCTCAACCATGGCTGGGGCTAACGTGATTCCCAGAAGGGTCAGGGTCTCCCCACAGCAGCCTGGCAGGAGCAGAGTGTGCCATGCCCAGCTGGTTGTGTCAACCAACATGTTCTGCTTTCTGGTCAGGGAGGGGGCAATGATTCTGCCCAAAAAACAGTGGGGAGAGGAGAAATCAATAATAAAAGGACACAAAATGCAGCAGTAATGACAAAAGCAACAGCAACAGTACTGCAGGCCGGGTCAGAGCTGAGTGCTCGAGCCCTGGTGGCCCAGGGGAGCGGAGGAGGCAGGGGACACACACACGTCAGGGGCTGCCCTGAGCTCTCGGCGGGCTCACAGCTGCCCTTGGACCTGTGGAGCTTGGCAGAAGTCCTGCTGCCCAGGAAGGTGGTGTGGAGGAAATGCTGAGGTGAGGCAGCAGCTGGGGCTGCCCACAGCTGGGAGGTCCTGGGGGATGTGTCCCCAGGATGGAGGGGAGGTAAAGGAGCCCCCAGCTCCCCCTGCAGCACGAGGCCTGGCTTGATTCCCTTGAGGAATCCCGATGAGGGTCCTTTTATCGTATTTTCACTATGACAGATCATTCCCATTGGCATTTCTTCAAGTTAGTCCATGGCTGGTGCCTGATTACCTCCACTACCTCATGGAGAATGCCCCTGATTTCCCAGACCTTTCCATTTCCCTAGAACAAGAGAGCCACAGAATTTTTCACCACCACCTTCTAAAGTCCTTTGGTGCAAATTATCCCATCCTGAAGATTTTAAAGGTTCTAATTAAATGAGGTGGGAGCAATGGCATGTCAAAGGATGCGATGACGGGATGCAGAGTTCTCCCAGTCAGCATCATGCAACCCTGGGTGCAATTCCTGCAGGGATGGGGTGAGGCAGCTGCAGGATGAGGCTGTTACTCAAACTGTCTGTTTTAAATTGCACCAGGATGCAAATAAGGCAGGTCTTTATGAACCTGGGGTCATGTGCCTGTCTCAGGCTGCGCCAGCCTGGCTTTCTGACCATCACCCAGCCTGAAATGCCCTCTTGGAGCACTTCTTTTACCCACAGTCTAACTGGAGGCAACAGTGGGAAAAGGTTCAATATAATGTGGAGAAGTGGAGTAATTCCCATCTGCAGGAAGAGCTTCCTCCCTCATGGCCTTCCTCGGTGAAGCCCTGGCTCTCTGCCTTCCCACGGTTCTGGCAGCCCCGTGTTTCACCCTGCCACCCCTCTCAGTGCTGTCTACAATTCCTGAATCTCATGCCCCACAAGCTCAGCACTCTTCTGCCCACAGATGCCTGCCCCAAACTGCTCTCCAAGCCCCCACAGCCCCAAAAGGGGGACAGGCCATCTCCTGCCCCAGGCTGCTGTGGCCTTTTCTGCAAAAAATAGAGCTCAGTCTCTGGGTAAGATGTTTTTCCCTCTCCTTAGGCACTGAAAAGGTTTGGGGCAGAGGCTGGAGAGGACTCTCCCGGCAGGTGACACCAGGGGGTGGCTGCCAATCCAGATGTGCCATCTGGGGCTGGCCACACCCTGGAGCCCATGCCCACCTCCTGGAGGCCCCGGCCATGGCAACGCTGAACCAAGAAGAGACTTCGCCGTCGGATGGACCTAACCGGGGGAGCAAATGGGTCCTGCAGCGGTGAGGGCAGCACGGACCCCATGGAGATCAGCAACGGGGCCCACAGGGGTCCGAGCAGCACGCCACGGGCGCGGGACAGTGACATCCTCCAGCCCCCGCTCGGCGCCCACGCAGGATCGCGGCCGCGGTCACCGCAGCACCGCCCCGGTGCGAGCCCACCCCGCAGCCCTGCGGGACCCGGCCCCGGGGAGCCCCTGGCCCCTGGCCGCCCCCGGGGCCGCTCCATGCCGGAGCGCGGTGCCACCGCACGGGGACGGGGGACACCGTGGCGGCATCGCGCCCCCCGCCCCGGGACCAGCCGGTCCTGTCCGTCCCCGTGCAGCCCCCGCGCCGCGGGCGGGGGGGGCGAGTCCCGCCCTCCCCTCCGGGTCGTGCAGGAGCAGGGACCCCCGCGGCCCCCCCAGCTGCCGGTACGCGGGGGCCGGGCGGAGGGGGGCGGCGGGGCCAGGGCGAGGGTGCGGCGGCCTCCGGGCCTGCGGGCCCCAGTGCCGCGGGCGGGGACCGGTGACAAACTTGCGGCCGCCGCACCGTGCCGTGCCGCTCGATGTCCCGCATGGCGCGGGGGAGGCGCCTCGACCCCCGCCCCGCAGCGCTGCGCGCCCCGCGGGATAACGAGCCGGAGGGGGGAGCGGGCCCGGGGGGTCACCCAGCGGCAGCGTCGCAGGGGTGGGGGCCACACGCCCACCTGGGCTGGGCAGGCGGGTCCGCGTTCTCTCAACCGGCCGGCCTCGCTGCGCCCGGAGACACCCACCCTCCCACGGCCGCGCCCGGCGGTGGGCACCGGGCGGGGGGTACGGGGCGGAGGGCAACGGGGCGGGGGGCAGCGGGGCGTCGGGGACCGGGGCTGAGGACTCTAGGGCTGGGGACATCGGGACTGCGGGCAACGGGGCTGCGTGCGCCGCGCTCGCCGCGCGCTGCCCGTCCGGCTCTGCCCGCTGTCGGGCGCCCGGCGCTGCCCGGGCGTGGAGCGAGCGCCCGCCCCCGCTGCCGCCTCCTCCTCCATCCTTCTCCTCCCCCCGGTGCGGAGCGAGCGTCGCTCCCCGGTGCGGGAGCCGGTGCCCCGGCGCGGGGTCGGGCGGGCGTGTGTGTTTGCGGGGCGTGTGTGCGTTGAGCTCTCCCCGTGCCGAGCCACTCCGCTCCGTGCCGTGCCGAACCCCGGGCGCGGCGGCCTCCCGACCCCCGCCCCTCCCGGGGCCGCGCCGGGCGCGGAGCCCCCTCCCTCCCTCCCCGCGCTCCCTCCTTCGTTCCCTCCCCGCGCCCGCCCGTTCCCTCTCCGGACCGGCCCCCCCGCGCGGGCCGGGGCGCGCGGCACGCCGGGACCCGCAGTCCGCGCGGCGGCTCGGCCCCAGGTGCGTACCCACCGCCCCGCGCCGCCCCGCGCTGGACCCCGGCCCCCGCTGCCCGGGCACCCCGGGCCCGCGCCGCCCCGCACCCACGGCACACGGGGGCAAGCGGAGGGGAGCGGGTGGCCCGACCCCCCCTCCGGCCGTCCGGACGGGATCTCCATGGAAACGGTCCCGGGACACCCCCGGGGGCGGCGGTGGGGCGTCGCGGGGGGGGTGTGCGGGCTGGGGGGACCGGCGACGTCCTGCGGCGGGACAGCGGCGGGGGCGCGGCGGGCACTGACAGCGCCGCCGCTGTGCCCGGGTCGGTTCGGCTGCGGGTGCCGGCCGGCGGGGTGCCGGGCGGTGGCGGAAGAGCCCTCCCCGGGGGCAGCGCGGCCGCCGCCACCTCCATGTCCGGGGCTGCCCCGGTGCGGCAGCGCGGGGGCCCGGCCGCGGCTGCCGGGGCTGCGGGACGCTCCGCCGGGGAGCGGCCCCGGGGGCAACTGTTGAGCCGGGGGCTGCGGGAGCGGGCGCGGGGCAGCACGGCAGGGCCTAGCCCCCGGCAAGGCTGCGGGGCGCGGGGCGAAGCCCCCGGAGCGGCCGCGAGGCCGCCGTGTCCCGGGCTGCCCGCCCCG